CTGGGGCAGCAGGGAGTGCGGGTGGGGTGGGGGGAGAGCCCAGAGTTGGGGCGGCAGGGGATGCGGGTCGGGTGGGGGGGAGAGCCCAGGGTTGGGGCGGCAGGGGGTGAGGGTGCGGGAGGGCAGCCACATTTTTTTTTATTTCGGGCGGCAAAAAACCTAGAGCCGGCCCTGTCTGCATTGCTTAAAAAGCAGTAAACTTTTAGTCACTGATGGCTGCAGATGTGACTCTGAACACACACAGGGAGCAGCTCTATTGAGTAAGAAGGTGCCCTGTTTATAGTCTCACTTTTCAGAATAGAATAATGATTTGGTAGTTTGTAAACACTTTACTTTGCTGAAACTAACAGTCTTTGTGCAATTCTAACTCTACCTGTCCCTGCCTTGTGGGAGATAATGAGTTCTCTTTAGGTACTTACTTTACTTTGAACCTGGAAGCACAGCTAAGAGAGAGGGAGCTGAATTCTATTATTCCTTGTTTATCATAATCAGAATTGCTTACTAAAAAAAAAGCTTTTGCTTTTAAACAGGAACATGCAATCACATGAAATTACTACTAACTTACTGCTGTAATTTCCCCCTTAAAATAAGAGCCTTCTCACTATAGGTCAACATTCAGGTGGCATTTCTTGGAGCTAAATCTTTGTCCAAGCACGAAGCTGGAGTAAATGGATGAGCACTGGGGATGTCCACAGGAAATCCTCCCATCCAGGCTGCAGAGTGGCCATGCTTCCACTCCCTAGCTACTTTTGCACCCCTGCAAAGAGGGGGAGGAAGGAATTGGCTGGTGGATCCAGGTAGTCCCGGATCCACTGAGGTGCAGGGCGCCACTTCTGGGCTTTGCTTGGTGGTGCACCTACCCTCTATTAAGCCATGTCAGGAATGTTGTAACAGCCTCATGAAAGATCCTGCGTAGCCTCCTTCATACAGTGGACATGGTCTTCTATTCTACTTCCACCCCTCCTATATTCCTTTGTACCAGTTCTGTTGTCATTCAATCCATGTGTGTTTGTGGAACCAGGATTTTCCCAACATGAATCTTATGATGAATGGGTTTGCATGGAACATGGCAGTTCTCCTTTAACTTTAATACCTATGAGGCCTTCCTCATACACAAAGTTTGCATTCCACATGCTTTCCTTTTCCTCCAGCTTGTCTAACTTCTTTCTAAAAATCACTGATTGATGATTTCTCTTCAGACACCTAACGTCTCAAATTAATTTCCCCCAACCCCCACAATCGGGCACCACCCTTTAAGCAGTTTAATGAGCATTTTACCATTCCTTGATTCAGAAGGACTTCTAAACATTCATGGAGGGTCAGCAATGAATGGAAAATCCTCATAACTTTAAAACTCTGGAGTGTCACATGTGTTAGTGATTCAAACCCCTGAACCATGGTGGGTTTTCTGAATAGGGAGAAATTCTGCCCTCCGATATGCCCTGCCGCCCAAGCTATCATGTTGCCAAGGGGTCTATCACTGTGGTATCTAAACATCAATCACCAATTGAAGGGAGCCTGATCATGTCCTCAAACCCTATAACTTTAAAAAAGAGACTTTCTCCCCTTTTTGGTTTGTTTCTGAGCAGCAGGAGGAAAAGATATGCACCACTGCCAAGCTTGTGTGCTACTGTTTGTATGTGCGCATGAAAGTGAAGTAGCAGATTCTTTAGGATAAGTGCTGCACAGGGCCCAGTGTTTTATGTTTGCAGGGGGATAAATGGTCAAAAAGAATTTATTGAGCATTAAAGATAGCAGACCAAACACAACATCTGGAGTGTCACATGGTAGTGATTCAAATCCCTGCACCATGGTGGGTTTGCGTTTAAAATGACTATAAAGCACTTTAAGGGACAAATTCTGCCCTCTGATATACCCCCCCGACCCTAGCTATCTGTCATATTGCTACGGGATCTATCACTGTGGTATCTAAACATCAATCACCAATTGAAGGGAGCCCAATCATGCCCAGAAGGGCTCATCCTTTCATGTCAAAGCCAATTCTTCCTATTCCCCAACCCCTTCTTTTCTCCTCCTTCATTCTCCCTGCCTTTTCCTGGATTTTTATAAGTTGTGGCATCCCAGCCTAATTCCCCCAGTGCTCCGAGGGAAGAGATTTCTTTACTGTGGGAATGCTTTATTGGAGAGTTGGGTGTTGCATTTAGATCTCAACACAATCAAGCTTGGGCTCAGTCTAATGTTCCATCCAAAATGGTGAGGACCATATGTGGATGCAGGGTTGCTATGAGTCAAGGTTCAATGCAAAGAATATGCAAGGCTGATGCGTAGTCAAGGAGTCTCTTGCCTGTCCCATCACTCTAAAAGGCATGCATGAGCTATGTATTTTTGCCAATATTGCCCTTCCCTGTTGAGGCAGCGAATCCCAGCTGTGGAATACCTTTTCTCTCTGCAGTTGCCGTGGAAGCCAATGGGAGATGGACACTATAGGAGAGCAGGATTGGGCCACGCTGCCATGTAAATTCAATGTAAAGACTTGTACTCGGTTAAAGACATGCAAGGAGTCACGAGAGCTAAACCTGAATTGACCTACCTCTGAGCAAAGACAGTTAACACAATAAACGAGTCCATAGGGTTCTAGGTAGGGATGCCATCTTTCTCCTACACGGTACTTCTTATCTTGAAAGACACAGTATGTCTCTGAATCTGTTAAAATAATATGGAATAGAAAGAGCTATGAATTAATAATCCCTTTCAGTGCAGGAAAGCAGTGGTAGCTATGATATCTCAATTAGGACTCCATGTAAACCCCAGGTAGCTGAGTTTGTTTAAGGTGCAAAGAAATTTGTAAAGAATTCTACTTTTTCCTTTTCTTTGAGAACACAATTTAAAAATTAATGCCTTTGTATTGATACCAGTTTCTAGCCAAGAAACCTCCCTGGTTCTGATGTGGTAGCTTTCAGACTGGGTTGATTCACTAGTCTTTCACATCCTAGAGACTTGGGTTCAAATCCTGTGTAAATCACAAATGAAAGTGCTTAGTTCCCTCTGCCTAATTCATAGTAAATAAAATGTTCCCATCTCAAAGGTATTGCAGCAGTCTCTGCTCAGGACAGCAGAAGTGTTGAAGGACAGAATGAGGAAATGTGCATTGTACTTATATGGCATGTTCCATAGTTTAAGAACCAGATCAAACAGGAGCATGGCATGTTATTTGATACAGTGTGTTGATCTTATCTATGCAGCAGTGTGCAAGATATTTTAGGGGCCTATTTTTCAGCAAAGGCCTCTAATTTCCCAAGTATAGTTTTTCCACTTGCAACTAACAGCACACACAACTGGTATCATTTAGCCATCTACTTATGTGATGCTGCTTCGGTAAATGGTAATGTCAAGCCTCATGATAAATTATCATCGTTCTTACAAACACATCTCGTAACAACACACAAATACTTGGCTCCCAAATGTTAGAATGAGAGTGGAATGTCCTTAGCATTCAGTCTGCTAAAAGCAGGTAGCAAGATGCAGGGATTACTGGTAGCATGTGTAAAGTGATCTGCTTTCACTTCAGACAGCTGCATGGTGAATGACGCTTAGTGTCTGAAAAAGTAACGAGTTGAAGTTGCAACTGGAAGTTGCTGAATTTTCCTGTGCAGCCTCTGGACTGGACAAGGCTAATTTGCACAGTTCTTTCTTGTGAATAAGCTCAGGAGAGCAGAGAATGCCTTCTTTGGACCGATTCAATTTATGTTTTGCTGCATCCACTTGCTTAGGACAAGAAGCTGGGTTTGAAAGATTTGACACTCTGTCTGTGACTACTCCTTGAAGTGCAAACACTGAGCTCAGGCACAGGCCAAAAGAGCTGGACATGCGGTAGAGAAAGGCACTAGGGGTCTCCTAGCAAGATCACAGTCTTCCTATAGATACTGGAGTGTGCTGTTAGTTACTCCTTCCTGTCACTCACTCTTTATGAAATGTGTTAACATCTCCCATGGATCATTGGGCTTCTAGAAATATTTCCTTTGCCTTGTGTGTATTCCTTTCAATATATCGCAAGTTTTTGACAGTGCCTGGATGCTTAATTTTCTCAAAGACTATTTCATCTCTAATCCAGTTCATATGAGGTTTTTTGGAACACAACAGGTCTGCCTTGGAGGAGGTTTACACTAGCTGAAAACCTCAGCACAATAGACTTATGGATGGGACAAAATCCAGATAATCTGTCAGATGTTTATAGAGGTCACTAAAATGCAATTAAGCACACTCTGTATGCAGGACATTTGAAGTAAAACAGATTTGGCAGCTTGATGTGTTATGTTCTTTATGATGTGATGAAAACTGTATGGTTTTAGGGAAATAGACCACAATTTATTTTGATTTGATTTTACTAAATGAAAACAAGCAGACACATTTTTTCTGCATTAGGCTTATTTTAATGCAAAACCGTTGTTAAAGTTCTATTACATATAAAATTTTTATTTGACACGCACAATTGATAGACAACAGGAAACCCCACATTTAGTTTAATACGATAGATGCATTTTTCTTTTGAAGTTTACTTACGTTTTATTTGTTCCGATTTACTTCCATCTATGAAAAGGAGCCAGAGCACACAGGAAAAGATAAATCGAAAGTCCTCCAATCTCCATTTTTTCCTCATCTTTGCCAACAAAAAGGAAAGAAAAATCCTTCAAAGGGCAGAATGTTGAGTTGCTGGGAAGAAAATGTGAAAAGACTTAAGACTGAAATCCTCTGGGACTACTTAAGATGAAGGTCTCCAATATGATTTCAACCAACATGTAAAAATCGAAAGCTGCCAGAAAACAAGACAAGACAAAACAAAACAACAGCAAAAAAAGGTCTGTACAGAGCTTTGTTTAGTGGAAACATTTTAGGCTTGAGATTAAATTGCTTCATTTTTGGAAAAGGGACCACATTCCCTTTCATAAAAGCTGAAAAGTGGGTATTACATCTTATGAAGTCCTTCTTTGATTGCAAAGCAAAGAACTTGCAAAGTGTAAGCAGTCTAAATTCTTAAAACCCTCTTTCACAAGAGAAATAGTTTGTTTAGAAGCTTTTCCATGGACAGAATCAGATCTTTTGTACGTAAAGAAGGAAGTATGAATGTTGGTTGTAATGCCTTACCTTTGCCATGGTAAGAGTAATCTGAACCTTGAATATATGTTAACCCTTTAATGTGCATTCCCATTTATTTCAGTAGGTTCAGGATTTCACCCCTAATCAATTCATCCCCCATCTCCTCTTATTTTGCGACTCCATAAAATTGATTGTTCAGGAGTTAACTCTTACCATTACCTTGAAACCTGTCTTAATAACCCCTGCATTCTGCAGTTTTATGCTGAAGGTACAATATGCAAATGACATGCCAGTCTTTATTCATGCAGATCTTTAATATCAACACCCTGTTAGCATGGAGCATAGTCATCAAGTACGCCTTGCCCTGAAAGCTGCATTCATGGTGCCAGAGCGCAAATTCTGTTTGCCTTTTGTCTGACATTTTCAAGACCTTCAGTCTCCTTAGAGTGAAAAGAGGAAACTGATCAAATTGTAATTAACATAGGTCTTTTTTAAAAAAAAAATCCAATCTGGAACAATAAATTAATAAACATGTGAACCACAATAAAGGAAATTATTGTCTCATAAAAAGGACAGTTGGGAATAATTTACAGTGTTATTCATGTGGGTTTTTTTAAACAGTCTCAGTATTGGTTTTCCTTATGAAAGTTTGAAAAGTAATTCATTACTGGTAATTTAAACAAATATATAAACTTTTAAAAATATGCTCAAGTCATTTGATCTCTTTAGATAAGTTATCTCCAGATGACTTATCAAAAATTGAACACTGGACCCAGATTTCACAAGGTTTCAGTGACGCATTTTCAAAGCAGAAATATTTACTATACATGTAAATTAAAAAATGAAGGACAATTTAGAGGAATGGAGAAGCACTGAGAAAAAACAACACAAGTTCACCTTAAAATACTGTTTTTCAAATTCTCATTAAAGAAACTAAACAAAATGCTTATACAAGCTACAGAGTAATCATTTAAAGTCATGTACTGATCAATACCACTTTTTAAACATCTTCCAGGTAGAACTATTCTTTCTGACTTGGGATTCTGTAACAAGGGGCTGATAATATCGATGATTTGATTTATTATGTATGTTTGTCTCTCTTATTCTATAATTTCTTCCACTCTCAATCCTCAAAACAACACCAGAAGCATGACCATCAACCCTCCCCATTCAAAACAGTACAACCACTCTGTCTACTCATCATTGACCTCTGTCTGGTACTGTATAGCCTCATTCTAAATAATTTAAAATGCATCTGAGAACATTCAAAAGCATAATGTAACTTTTAAAGGGTGCTCTTTGCACAATAGCAAAATAGAATTTAAATTTCTTCTTGGGAACAAGAAATAAAATTTCATTTTAGAAACAAAAGTTTGTCATCATTTTTTCCTTCAAGGTGTTCAGATCTCACAGGACGTTTTCTAAGACAAATACTTTTAAAAAACTTGTTTAAAATGAAAAAAATGCAATTTAGTCTCAGTATAACATGCCACTATTCATAGCAACAGTAGCATGCCTCAGATCTCTAGAACTGGCAAAATGTGGGCATTTAAAATACTCTGACTTTTTTTGGGTGCTGTCTGGTTGTTTGAGCAAAAAATATTTGTAAATGGAGCACATTACTCCTCTTGGAGTCTCGGGAGCACTTTGATTGTTAGCTAGACTGGAAAGAACTCAGAAATCCTTCCATTTCAAAATGTCATTTCTTTAAACCCCATCTTGCTTAAAATAAGGAATGTTAAATAGTACAATGAAAGAGAGGAATTAATAATGGAAATTAGATGGATTTTTAATCTCTTTAATTTCAAACTCGTTACAATAAACCCAAATACAGATACTTTTAGCAATAAACATATTTCCTTTATTTTTGAGCAATATCCTCAGTTGGAAATATTCTGATCTACTTAATTGCAATTAAAATTAACATTTTTATTATCCGTTATTGGTATTCATCAGTGAGAACCCCATCTTTAATTAGCATTACCTAAGATTAAAATAAGGCAGAAAACAAAGGCCTATTTTCATGTCTTTTGATTTCCAATAAATCCCATTTAATAGCTAAAAATGACAGAGCATGGGTCTACACTTTATATTATTGAAACAAAGCAGGAATGTTCAAAGAAAATCTGAATAAATTTGTAAAGATCTGTGACATGATCAGTGTTCTTACTTGCAACTAGACACCAAATATATTCAGATAAACTTTCTCCTAGAAGTTTAATCTGATTAGTGAGCTCAAGAAGTAAATTGCAATTAGTTTAAGAAATGTCAGTCATGGACGGAATGGCTTGCTGTCCTTTTGTAACATAAAAATGTACCACTAAGAACATGCATTGTTGTTTTCTCATCGACAAAGTACAGTAGAGGGGAAAGATTTCCTAGGCACTGCATTAGGCTTGTTTTCTTACAATGGCAGCCAATTTTAATAAAAGCTAGTTTGATGCAGCCCTGGCCAGAGTATTGGCTTGTAGTGGTTAAAGCCCATAGTACTCCTGTAGGCGACTGGACATAGAGAACTGTGTGTCGGTTTGCAGAGTTCTCAGCCCCCACCCATAAGCAGGATGAAAGTTTAGTTCAAGGACTAACTTTTGCGGGGTCACCTGGGGCAGAGAGGAGACATTTCCGACTCCCCTGGCCGCTGACCCCCATCCAGCCCTGCTCAGGGACACGGACAAGCCAGGCCTGTGTGCTGGGGAGGGGGTAAGGGGGAAAGCGAAGGGTATGTCACCTCCGGGAGACCTGAGCGCCAGCCCCCGGCCAAGTGGCAAGCGAGCCAGTCCTAGCATCAGCAGCGGGTGGGGGGGAATCGCAAACGGGGCTTAGGTTCTGAGTGGGCCCTGTTAGGTGTGTCTGGCTGTGCCACAGCTCCCTGCTCTCTGGGTGACGAAGTGACTATTCACCCACGAAAGCTTATGCTCCAATACCTCTGTTAGTCTCTAAGGTGCCACAGGGCTCTGTCGCTTTTTACAGATCCAGACTAACACGGCTCCCCCTCTGATACTCCCTGGGTCCAGCCATTCTCCTGCGGCCGCCTAAACCCCCCCCCCCCTTTCCCTGTCTGGCTACGGGCAGAGGCAAGAGACGGGAACAAACCTGCTGAGAAGGCAGAAGCTGGGGGGCTGGTCCGTTTCAGCAGCAGCCGCTGGAGACTCAAGTGGCTCCCCCTGGAAATAGGCGAGGGGCTTTGGTCGGGCTGGAGGGGGCGGAGAGGCAGGGATCTCACCCCCCGTGACTCAGTAACAGTCCCGGAGCCATCGGGGCCCCCGGCAAAGCCTGCTTGGGATTCAGGCTCTGCCTTCACTCCAGGAGCCTTGACGATGGGGATTGCTGGGTCCTATAACCCCCGCCCCCCAAATGAGCCGGGGCGGGGAGGTCAAGCCAGGCGCTGATGGAGAGTCCAGGGGAAGAGCTGCCCCGGGTCTGATGCTGCCCTGCTAAGGGGGAAGAGAGAGGAGGGGCCGCTGCCACCTACTTTCCTTCCTCTTGCAGCTGCTCTGTGAAGGGCCGAAAGCCGGGAGCCCGGTGAGCTAGAGGTGGCTCCAGCGCCTCGGAGGATGCTCTTAAGTGATTCCTGCCCTGCAACCCCCGCAGAGCCGCCGGCAGCGGGGCTGCTGCCTGCAGGAGCAGGAATGTAGCCAGAGCCCCGGAGATCCGCCTTCCCTTCCCACCCTCGCCTTTCTCTGCGCCCCCCTCGCTTCTGCCTGGCACACAAGTGGTGATTGACAAAAGTTTGGGGTGGAGTTTGTTTGATTTGGGGGGTGGGGGGCGGGGCTGTCTAAGGGAGGCAGGAAAGTCAGTGCGTTAGGAAAACGAGCTCGTTCCATGGCAGGGATCTTAAGAGCCTCTCCCCTCCCTCCCTCTGAGCAAGGAAGCTTCAAAAGATCCTCTCAACTCAAGCAAACTTCACCCTGAGCTTAAAGGGGCCGCTCGCCCAGATCCTGGGACTAGTTCCCCCCCTGCCCATTCCCAAGCTTGCAGGGGACGGTGAGCCACAGGACAGGATGGTTCAGCTTTAAATGCCGGATACTTCGTTTCCAGAAAAAGAAAAAAAAACATTCTGCCTATCTTTAGGCAGCAACTTGCAATGGTCAAAGTTTAATAGAAACCTATTAAATGTCTATAGAAATTACTCGATACACTTAGATTTAGTAGAGAATGAGATCCGGTCTATGGGGGTTGTAATCGTATAGAATTCTATCACAGCACTAGACTTCACTAATACATTCTATAGGATGGTTTGAAAATTAAAAACCATAGCAAGGTTCCCATTTTCTAACAAATTGTATAGGGCTTCCCCGTAAGGCAAAGCTTTCAGTTCTGCTCAGTTTATTAGAGAGAGAAATATAAACCAAGCTGGCTCTGGTGCAGGCTTTCCACACACACAGAGCGCAGATCGTTGCTGGACTGATTAAGTTATTGTTTGTTAGGATTTGCCAGGCATCCTTTTCTGATACTCATGGCCTGGTCTGGTTTATTGTGTTAGAAGGTTTCAAGGTCATACTGAAAATCTGTTGGAACTAAATTAAACCCATGACTCATGACATTACATGCTTGGTCAAACATTCTTGTTCGTCTTGTTGTAGCCCCTTTAACTAATAAGAAGAGATCAGCAAACC